TTCTTGACCCATTTTAATTTACGCATTTCAACTAACCATTTGTTTGGACACTTTGTCACAATATGGTTAGCTTGCATGCAATAATGGCAAGCCCTTACTTTTGATTTAGAAGTTGAGGCTTGGTTTGATGGGTTAGTTTTAGAGGTATTAAAATGGTTTTTAGCCATACTCATCAAGTTTGTGGGTTGACCATAACCAATACCTTCTTTCGTTAGTTTTGGTTGGTTATCCCATTCTTTTGTTGAGTTATAGCTATTGTAAAACATTTCCAAAGCCCCTCGTTTGGCCTTGTCTTTTTCTTTAATCAAAATTTCAATTTTCTTTTGAAGTTCTTCATTTTGGTTTTGAAACTTTTCAAGATTAAGTTTTAAATTTTTGTTTTCATCACAAGAAGTTTCAAGAGCCACCTTGAGTTCCTTTTTCTCCCTAATGGTTCGAAAAAGATCCTCTTGGCATTCATCAAACGCTTGCCTTAATTCATCAAAAGTAATTTGACTTTCAAAAGAGGTAAATGAATTTTGAGAACTAACCTCTTCTTCATCATTGGAGGCCATGAAGCAAGCATTTGCATTCTCTTCTTGGCTTTAGTCATTATCACTTTCGTCGGAGTTTAAATCGTCCCAAGTGACTTTTAATGCCTTCTTCTTCCCCTTTTAAGCTCTTCCTTCTTTTTGAGCTTTGGACACTCCGGTTTCATATGACCTACATTTCCACATTCATAGCAAGTTATTTGATTAGGTTTACCTTTCTTTGATGGAAATCTTTTTGAGGATTCGCCCTTGTTCCATTTCATAAACTTCTTGTATCTCTTGAACATGGCAAGCTCCTCATCACTTTTTCCTTCACTTTCCGGATGGTCATCAATTTTGAGTGCCATGGTCTTCTTGATGATAGGAACCTGTTGTTCTTCCTTCATTTTCTTCAAAAGAAGCTCGTGAGAGTATAGGCTGTTCCAAATGGTGGATGTTTCAACATCTGCACATTTGGGCAACAAATTTACAACAAGACTATGCCACTCTCTAGGAAGAGAGAATATAATCTTGGTGTTAATCTCACTAGTAGGATAAACTTTATTTAGCTTACTCAAATTGTTGACAATGGGGTTGAATCGTTTGTTCATATCTTGAACGGATTCTCCGGCCTTCATCTTGAAGTTTTCATACTCGGATGTTCCTAAAGCTATCTTGGTAGCTTTTGTGTCTTTATCTCCTTCATGGGTGGCTTCTAGGAGCTTCCATGCTTCCTTTGCGGATTTGCAAGAGCTCACCCTAGCAAACTCATCTTGACCCAAGGCACAAAACAACACGTTTAGTGCTTTGGCATTCAAGGAGAGTTTTTTCTTGTCTTCGGTGGTGAGTTTGCCCATTGGAGTTGGAACTTGGTGTTCACCTACAGTTGTCATAGGAACAAACGGACCATGAGTAGTGACTATCCATAACTCATAGTCAATAGATTGAATGAAATTCTCCATTCGCATTTTCCAATAGTCATAGTTATCCCCATTGAAGAATGGTGGCTTGGTAATGCTTTGGGAGTTTATTGAATCCATGTGTCGTAAAAAGAAATAAAAGATGAGTGTAAAAGGATCAAACTTCTTGCTCTGATACCAATTGAAAGTCGGTTTACACCCTAAGAGGGGGGTTAATTAGGATGTTTGCAAAGTTTTTAATAAAAACAAAAACTTATGCGCAAAGTAGTAGCGGAAAAAGAGCAAGAAAAGTATAAAAGATAAAAATACGACACAAGCGATTTTATACTGGTTCGGGAACTCCCTACTCCAGTAACTCAAGCCTCCTCCTCAAGGATTTAACCTCCACTAACTTTTTCGGCTTCACTAAGAAGACTCAAACGAGGTTTGGCAAACAACCCTTGCCAATAAGCAAATGAGATTTTACTACGGCTATCTCAACCGTTTACAACCGAAGATTTTAAGGCTATCTTCAACCTTACAATGAGGATTTAGAGGCTATCCACACCTTTTAAAAATCAATAAAAAGATTGGTGTTGCTTCTCTACCAAAATGATAACAAATGTAAGTTGGGTAGGAGAAGAAGAAAAGATTAAATCAACAACAACAAAAGCCTATAAGCAAGATATAAAATAATGAAGCACAAATGCCCTTGTGTGTGAGTGTATGAAAATAGTGAAAGCTTTTTACTCAAAAGAGTAAGAAAAATAAGAACAAAGCTTTAAGAACACTCAAGAATAGAGAAAGAGGCTTTAGATTTAATAAGGAAGTTGTTGTTAATAAAATGAGGCTTAGAGGGGGTTTATATAAGAGTTTGGAATGTTAAAATATGAAGTGATAGACAGTTTTAAGGTCGTCTACAAGGAAAACCCTTGCGTTGCTTGTACTGGAAATCCCTTGATATAAATATTATTTAATGATGGAAATAAATTCAATTGAAGAGAACATTTATAGCGGAAGTGAATGTAAGTAAAAACCGTTAAGTCAATAATAACATAAGTGCAAAAACGGTGGGTTCAAGCCCAAAAGGTGTTCATAATTTAATGGATAATTGAACGGGTCCCACTTGTCGTTCATCCGCCGCTCCGATCACCTAGTCGTCCGGGTCAGGCTCCATGATCCTCTAGCCTACCTGCGTATAGCAAAGGAAAAAGACGCTATACGCTCAGCAAAAGCTGAGTGGTAATCTAACAGTAGAACACATAATATATTCACATGGATATATACATATTCGTACATGTACTAAAGTACGAGATACCACATACAAGTTTGGTAAACAAGATGAATACTGATATCCACTACGAAGTATAGAATAATGCAATGCCGAATAAATCATGATGCATGAGTTAGACTGTGCATGGACACTCCTGCCCTTCTATGATCATCCCCACGCGGTAGACGAGCCGAGGAACGCCTTAGTCATCCCGATGGAGACTAGAATGTGGGTGATAGCTAAGACTAGCTACCATGTACGTACATAAGCCGTTCGTGATTAAAACCCGTTAAATCCCGCAGGTTCTTGGACGGGCCCACGGAAGAGGCGCACTTGCCTGACCTCTTTCCGTGGTATGCAAAGTATGCCATGATCCTAAACATGCGTCTAGGATATACATGATGTTATGAATGCATTGATTGGAGAATGAAGTTATGTTCAACGCATGCAGATATATTTGATTCCATATGAAAACAACCTGTTCAACGTGGCAGACCTGGGTTGAGAACTGGTTGATAATCGAGTAACCTGTTGGAATGCATGAGTTCAACCCTTTCTGTGTTGTTAAGTCTTGACTCACAGCTTTTGATAATTGACAAACACAATTTATTCAAGTCAAGATCAAAGTGCTACAACGACAAACACGAAGACTTGAGGTGCCATTCCTTGAAGTATTCAAGAAGGTGCACAGGATTTTATTGGAGTCCGGGACGCGTTCGGAGCGCCTAATGGAGGACTCAGAGGAGTAGAAGATTTCCGAAGACTTTTTATTTATTTGAGTCTTAGGAATTATTGTAAAGATGACAAAAATATCTTCTATCCAAAATTTATTTTTATGAGAGTTAAAATAAAAATTATATTTATTTTTGGAGTCAGTTGAAAAATCCTTTTAACTATTCAAAATACATTTATTGAGTCAGTTACAAAAAGTGTGTCAAACATTTATCAAAACATTTATTTTGATATTAGAAAATATTTTTGGAAAGCAAAAATATTTTATTCAAATATTTTCGTGTTCATCGTTTGACACACAAAATAATTTTGGGACTCAATTTCTACACCCCAAATATCTTTCATTCATTCAAAATTTATTTGGAATAATGGTTGAGTTGATGGGGAGCCTTACCCTTGAATTTTTTGTTGGAAACAACCTACAAGCTCCAATTTTGTCCTTCACCTCGCCCACATGCTTGTGTTCTTCTTGTTTAGGCATTATTGTTGTAATAATCGATTTTACCTCTAGAATTAATCGATTATCGCGTCCTGAAGGAACTAATCGATTAACACCTTTGGCTTTAATCGATTATCACTTTTCTGCGCAGAAGGAATTTGGCTCTCGCAAATTTAATCGATTTTTGAAGCTGCTTTTATCGATTTTTTATGATGCATTAATCGATTATGGAGTACCCATTTTGTCTTCTTGTGTTTGTTCAAGAATTCTAACCGAGCTCTTCAATTTGGGGAGTCCAGACTTTGTCTTCTTATCATTTATTCTTGAATCAGCTGAATTATCCTCAATCTAGCCGTTGAAAATCAAGAGATTGATTTTTCCTTGCCAACGGGTAGAATTTTTTCATTCATGACTTTGATAAATTTCTAAGTCTTTTCTCACTTGTCCGCTTTTGAGAGTTCCGGTCCACCTCGAGACAACCGGCTCTTAGCTTGATAGTTCTGGATAAGTCATTCTTAGACTTCCGGATGAGAAAGTGGTCTGCGCTAGTCTTCCGATTCGGATGACTTAGCCTTTGTGCGGATGGCTACGAGACTTCCGGGTAGAGTTGAGCATTCCGGTTTTGAGAATTCCAAAGTAATCAGACTTCTTTGAGAATTCCTTTCTTGTCTCAGACATTTCCGAGCGAGAATTCCAATTTCCATAACTTTAATCTTGATAAGTCTTCAAGGTATTAGTACACAAAAACTCAAGATGAAATATCACAAGTTTTATTTGAAATCTCAAAAACTTGGTTTTCACAATATTTCTAAAAATAAAATAACATTGAATAATGGGGAAGACTTAGAGTCCCTAATACAATCTAAATACATAATCATCAAAATCTATAATTTTTCCCAACACACATTACTGTAGATCCATGTAGTATTCTCAAGCGGGGTCACTCTAGTCACATATTACTAATATAATATGCACCTACGTACAGATTAAGATATCACAATACCTCTATTCCATGAGACGCAACTATCTCATCTCGTATGTACTAGTCTTGATACATTATGATGTCGGTATTATCATAAAGTGCGACTAGGGATATTCTAGACATAGTCCTCATCTATGTTACTGAAGCGTTATCGTCTATGGACTGAAGCTATGTTACGTTACACGAGATGTAAAACATACCTCAAGGCCTTTCATTCATGATAAAATGTACAGTTACATAGGTATTTGATTGCCACTAGGAACCTAAATACAACAAGTAGTTCCTACCGTCAAGTATGTAGAGGCTAGCAGGAAAGGCCTACTGGATGGTAGCTACAGCTGCTACGCACAGTACCCATGTACCATGGGACAGTACCCTGGTACAGTGGGGTCGGTACCACCTACCTTTAAGGGTACCATGAGGTACCCGAACTAGTCAGAACTCTGTATTTTCGTTGAGGATCGATTTCGAGACTTTGTGTGTTGTATAACTATAAACATGGGTGTCAACACCTAGTGTTAGGCCGTTGTTTGAGTACATTGATTATATCGTTGACTCTTGGTTGTTGTATTATCTTTGTATCATGAATTGTTAATGGGTAATGATCGAATCACCAAGAAGAACTCTAGGTAGTGACCTGAAAGGATTAGTGGCAAGGTATGTCGTAAGTTAGTAAGTTGAGTCACGTGGTACCTGCTAGGTCCAATGGCTGTTCGGGTAAAAACATGTGCACGGGGAACTATGAACTGTCATTTCGAATGGGATAGGGATCTCACCCACCCAATGAGGAACTTCCTAGTTGGTTTGAGCTTGACCTTCGTTTCGAAGGGGAAGGTCATGACTCTCATAGGCAAGTCAAATTTAGTTAAGCTTTAACCTAACATAGGTTAAGGGCCAAGTACGAGAAATAAAGTAAAGTAAATTATAAAGGAAAGTACCTAATACTTATATCATTGTTGAACGCATGTTGTGTGCATGATATCGTATGATGATATGAGCTAGTGGGATCATTTACTGGAATAGCTGTATGTTAGATATTTCTCACTTAGCTTCAATGTTGAGCATGTAGCATTTGTTCTTTTGTTGCATGTAGGTAATCCAAGGAGTGAGGAACTTTGAGCTAATCCAGAGTGTAATGAGGATGCTGAATTGTGCGCGGCGGTGCTTGACAATTTTGAATTATTATTTTTTATTTGAACTAACTTGTTACTTTTTACATGCATGATTCCCAAGTTTTGTTTTGAATTATGAATTAAGATTTCGAAACTGTTTTGAATAATACTCCGATGAATGTTAAACTATGTTTTGAAATGTTTATTTGAATTGTTTTGAAAATTACCTCGTGTTTAGGTACCAGTCTAGTAGCAACCTAGCTCGCTAATGTGAGTATTTTGGTTACGTGGGTTGGGGTGTTACAAGGCCAGCCTAGGGTAGAGCTGGCGGATGAAGTTGAGGAAGAAATACTGGATCCCACAAAGCCGGATCGGAAGGATAAGATCGGGCAGGCAATGCAGCAGGAACAAAGCAGATAGCTGGTCATTGTCCTCAGGTCGCTTAAAGTGTTGTTTGCTTGGGGATCAGAGGACATGCCTGGAGTTGGTTGACCTGCGGATCGTATGTCATAGGTTGGCGGTCGACCAGACCCACAAGCCCGTGAAGCATACCAAACATTTCCTCTCCTCAAAGAGAAGAGATTTTGTGACAGAGGAGGTAAGCAACCTGCAGTCCATCGGGCACATTCGGGAGGTCAGATACCCCGAGTGATTGGCGAATGTAGTCATTGTACCCAACGGGAATACCTAAAGGATGTGCGTAGACTACACTGACCTAAAAAAGCATGCCCAATGGGCCAATTCCCGTTGCCCAATATTGACCAGCTGGTAAACGAGACCGCAGGGTGCGAATTGATGAGCTTTATGGATGACTTCAGCGAGTATCATCAGATACGGATGTTTGTAGATGATGAGGAGAAGACTTCATTCATCACACCAAATGGAGTTTATTGTTACAGGGTAATGTTGTTAGGGCTAAAGAATGCAGAAGTGACCTATGCGCGAATGATAAACAATTTGTTCGCTCCAGTCTTAGGAAGATGTATGGAAGCCTATGTCGATGATATGATCATCAAGACAGAGCAAGCTGGACCGCAAGCCCAAGACCTGTAAAAGGTAATCTAGATCATGTAGAAGTATCAACTCCAGCTTAACCCCAAAAAATGTACATTCGGCGTGCAGTGCGGCAAGTTCCTGAGTCACATGGTCAGCAGAAGGAGGATTGAGCCAAACCCTGAGAAAGTCCAGATGATCCTTGACATGGAACCTCCACGGAACGTTAAGGAGGTCCAACAGCTGACGGGGAGGATCGCTGCTTTTAGAAGATTCCCGTCAAAGATCGCTGGTCGAGCAGCACCTTTCTTCGAGACGATCAAGAAGGCCAAGGGGTTCATGTGGACTGAAGAGTGCCAGTGATCGTTCGAAGCATTGAAGGCCTATCTACTCTTTGCTACGGTACTTTCGAAGCTAGAGCCAGGGGACATGCTATACCTATACTTGGGTATCTCTCCTCGAGCTGTGAGCTAAGTGTTGGTAAGGGAAGAGGAAGGCGTACATCGGCTGGTGTATTACGTGGCCAAAGTATAATGAGGAGCAGAGCTATGGTACCCAATGATTGAAAAGACAGTTTTTGTCATGGTTTGCACGGTAAAAAAACTTACCTCTTATTTCCAAGCACATTTAGTCCAAGTGTTATCCCAACAACCCATTGGAGCTCTCATTTGCACCAAAAATGCCCCGTGTATAGTAAGTAAGTGGGGCATGTTTATGGG